GGCGCGGGGCGGCGGGTCGCGAAATACAGGGCTTCATTTCCTGGCCTCTCGTGGAGAGGAAGGCCAAGCGCCGTGCCGCTGCTGCGGGGTTGGGCAGAGGCGCCGGGCGCTGGTCCGCTGCAGAAACGGAGCTCCATTCACCCGGAGGGATCGCACTGAGTCATAGCTGTCTTCCCCCCTCCCCGCCTGCTCCCGCTTCTCTATTTCAAAGTCACAGGTTCGGTAAAAGTATAGTGTTTGCAATGCCCGAGAGAGGAGAGAGAGGATCAGAATATACGTAAAAAAAACTTCTTTCACACTTTAAAAATAAACTAATAAGGTACCGCACCTGCACGTATATGATAATGCATTATTGTCTTTTTCTCCCACACAGCGGTGAGAACGTAGGAGTGAAAAGCAGATTTGGAAAATGTGGCCCTAGGCACTCGCAGCCTTGGCCAAGAAGTGCCAAGTGAGGCCGCTTACCTGACTGTAGCTCAGCCTATGCAGGGGTAGGTAACTCATGCTACTGTTACAAAACAGCCCTCCTTGGACACAGTGTAATGATGACATTTAGAAAGCAACATACAAGCTTCAGAATGAAGAAATAGTATCTTAGGTTTGCGAGGGATAGCCTGGCTTTTAAAAATCACCCACCACTTCTCATGACGTCCCGGTACCTTCCAAAAAACCCAGTAAGAGAAGACCAGCAAGATAAGACTGAGTAAGATCCGTTTCTCACTGCACCCTAGGAAGTCGTGTCAGTTGTGTCCACAGCAGCCTGGAAAGCTATGTAGAGAGCGTGTGGAGTAACCTTGGAGCTTATTAAAATGTCTGCCAGTGAGGACCAAAGAAAGATCTGGATGGATGTCCTTTCATTTATTTATTTTTTTAATCACACAATTCAGATAAGAGAAAGTAAAGCTTGGAAAATGTGAAAATCTGAAACAGAGCAGAACAGCTGACTTTGAGTTGGTGTATAGGCCTGGTTTTACTACCAATTATTTTGTCAGTAAAATTAAAAAGATTTTTCAGGGCGCAGCAATACGCTGGCTAAGAAATTGCCTTGTGTAGGGTTTGTTATTTTTTAAGCATGATTTCTACTTGGAAATTTCACATTTGCTCTGGTTTGGGTAAGTCATAGCATTCCCTTAGAGCTGTTTTGCCAAACCACAGTTATTTGTAATATTCCATTACTCTAGCATTTTCTTATCGAAGGGAAAGTTCACAGATCTTTTCCAGTTCTGCATATCTGCTGACCTTTGACGTTGCAAGATCCTGGAGGGCTGACGCTTTTGGTGGCTCAGTAACCTAACTGTCAGTACAGACATAGGTCTGTATGCAGCACAGTCAGATCTGTGGGAACATTTAATTGAAACCGCAATCTGCCTGCACAGTGTTTCAGTCAGTAAAAGCAATGTTATTTGCTTCCTTTGAAAACCCAGAGAAAAGCCTAAACTGTTGTTTTACTTGCACCCTTTTTTCTGTTCCTGCTGCCTTGTGATTTTTGCTCTGCCGCAGTCCCACTCTGTAATCTATATACAAACTCTTCTTTTTGTGGAACGCAGCCTTAATTGGTAGAATTTCTTTAGTAGTGAAGGCCAGCAATTTTAGTACCTTTAGTCATAATACAATTGCTTAATATTACTGAAAAAAAAACTAACCAAAGCTGTAGTAATTTTGATACAGTGTTCAGTGCAGTGTTTTCTCCACAATTTCTACTAACTTTATTTAAAAACTTACAACTGCAGTCAAATAAACGAGAGTAACTGAATCTGTGCTAATAAGGGGAAGTTGATATCAGAAGCACATATTTTATTTTTCCTCTTCTCTTGAGGAGAACTGGGTATTTTATTTTTTTAATGCCACATGGTTAATTTCAAGCACAGTAAAATAACTCGTGCGGATTTTCTGAATGTAGGAATTAATAACTGAGGAGGAAGAGTAAGAAGAGCTTACTCTATTTTTATAATTGTTTAATTTTGTGTGGCATTTTTTCACTATTTTAGGCTAATATTCCAGCATACCATACTTTTGCTCTCAACTACAAAAATAAAATTGTTTACTTCATTATACAAACAGAACTTCTGTGATGGCTGAAGTAATAGAATCCCTGTATATAAAATTATTTTTGCTGGGATACAGCCACTTTCTCTGGCGCATAAATGGAAACAGTATCAGGCTGACTAAACTCCGTGAATATTTGAACATATAGGAACTAGAATGTAATTATTGCAGCATCGATCCCTCTTCTCTCTATTTTATGCCCGCTGGCTCCCACCAATGAGGCTTCACTCTGCACGACTTTGTGACTGCTGTAGAGACACTGGAATCGGAATATGGAGGATATGTTAGAGAATATCAATCATCACGTTTTTTGGTACCTTTTTATTTAAATTTTGAAAAATTAAAATTTGCATACTTTGAAGCGAAAGGCCACTTACCTGATATTTTGTATGCTCTTGCCACAGAGTCCAATGGCTATAACGTGAGTCTTTGCAGCAAACTGGAATGTCTTTGCAAGCTGGCATTATCTGCTGTCCCATAAAGAGATATGAAATGAAAAATAAACGTACATTCAAAATAGGCTTAAACTGTACATTCTGTATTATCACTATTTGGGGTATTTAGCATTTAAATACACAGAGTTCATGATTACACTACATAGCCATTAACAAATGGATAAAGTATATGTGAAATATCTAAAATACGAATCTACACAATGCCCATTGTTTTCAATTTTTTACCGATATAAAACGGGCAATGTTTTCTAAAGTACACCATCTAGTGCACTGTAACATGGTGTGCTGAGAATTTCTGGATTTTTTCCTTTAATTTTGAGCTGCATGTTTACACACTAGTGTGGGAATAGTAGGCCTTGATCTGAGCCAAGTTCAACAGAGTATAGTCATGCATACCCTTACTCAGGTAAATACCTTACTCCTGAAGTACTTCCAAAGTTTCTATTGACTTTAATGTAATCACTTACATAAGTAGGGAAATACTTTCACAGATTTAGTTTGCAACATCAAGGCAAACCAACGACAAATTAGACCTTTTCTTCAGAAAAGGGTGGTATCTGACATTTGTTTTAAAATTTGTAGCAGCGGAAAACGACTGCTTAATATACTGGATTAGAAAAGCTGTTGGCTGTAACCATATACCTCAGCAGAATATTCAGACACTATAATATGTTTAGGATATAGAGATCTGAGCTGGGCAAAAGTTTTCAAATTTGAAGTGACACACGTGGAAGCTTGTTCAAGGAGTATTAGTATACGTTTTACATCCATTACTGTGGACTGACCTGATCCTACTGGGTTGGTTCCAGTTGTTTTGGTCCTAATAAGGCAGTATTGTACCCAAACTAGAGTTAGATGTGTCACGATAGCAAGAGGGAGGAGAGGAAAGGGGAAATATGAAGGTGCTGCTCTCATCTGCCTACAGAGCGTAGGCACCACAGGACATGGTGTAAACGGAGGCATTTCTGCACCTGTAGCCGTCTTCCCATGATCTGTCTTCAGGGGTATACGCACTTGCTGCTGTAAATTTAAATCCTGCATGACTTGCAGGTTTTGAGACTCTCTCCATAAGGGATTCAGGTAATCTTGCTGACAGTACAAACAATAGCACACTGATCACAAAACAGTTCAGAGTTACAAGAACTACATGATTTTAAATGTAATAAAGCTTTAGAAAGAAGTGTAAACAAGTTGTTTTCCCTTTACAGATAGAGATGGAGAGGTAAAAGGTCAAGGATAGAGAAGGTCACTGTCAGCCCCAGTTACAGTGAAGTGCTGACTAATGATCTCAGATAAAGAATTACACTTTCACTGCTTATCTGTTTTTTTTAAAGATATTTCTATTGTCAGATTTATTTCTTATTCCATACGGATAAATCAGCTGAGGCCAACAATTCCAGAAAAACAGAATTATGGGAGGCGTATGTGTCTATTTTATGCCTACAGATGTCCCCTTTTTTTTTTCATTTTTTGCTTTAAATAATTGAAAATGTAAGGTTTCCATTCTCAGATCAGCTGAAAAAATACTAACATTTCAAGTGTGTTGTAAACAGTTAAATATGCTGTGTGCCAAATGTAGTAGTACGGATATAAATAGCAAAATCATGTAACTCATATCAGTTAGAAATCATGATGTTGACACTGTCTACAGCAGAGCCAGCGGTCCCCTGTGCAAAGGTGCAGGCAAGAATAAGTCCACGAAAAGAATCTATCCTACTGATATATCCCAAAACTAGCTCTCCTGGCATCCTTTTGTCATA